TAATTATTAGGCCAAATGTAAATAACAAAATATCTTTATAACTTAAAGCAAAATTGTGAAACGTAAAGTCAGAAACAAGTCTTTATATTAAGGCCATCAGTCAAACAATACTGTTGGTCTGGGTCTAAACAGAGCGCGTTGTGTGTGACGTCTTCTTTTGCGCATGCGGCCGCTTTGAGCGTTCACACTAGAGTGCGTTTGCTGTCGCATTTGTAGTGTGAACGAGCAGACAAAAAAAATCGGATTTGATCAAAAAATCGGATGTGAGCATTAAGACCTGCAGAGTGAACGTAGCCTAAGTGTCTTGTTTTGATCTTCAGGTGACCGTTACTTTAATAATGACTTATTGTGTGAAAACTATAAGATACCAGCAGCTCTGCATGCCACCTGTTTGAACAATGCAGTGGTTTGAAATACAGTTTTTCTGTTGACAGACAGTCGTTGGTAAATGGATTGCAGAGAACTGCACACTGTAATAAACACCAGCACTACTGATCTGGACCCTCCTGGGATCAACACTCTCATCTCATCAGCCCTTTTGGGCATTTTGGTCATCCAACCGGGTAATTTAAATGGACCCTGGGGCACAGGCTCATTAAACCTGATGACTCATTTACTGCTTAATGAGCCATGGGATGAAAATTCTCCTATTTCTTTTTTCACATTTGCATTTTTTAATAATTGGCATTGGTTTTGTATATTTGCATTAAGCACATGTGACATCCTTCGTGCTTTTATTGGCAAATTTCTCTGCCAACAATCATCTGATGTATTCAAATGGAAATCACAAGGAATATGGAAAGTTACTAGCAACAAAACTCTCCACTCTCTCTGCTGCCCTGCATATTAAAACGTGCAGTAGCCCTCACTTTTAATGTGTTAATATCTTTTTATTGACAGTGTTGGAACATACTCTAATGAAACGCAAAGATTTTCTCCATCTTTCTCTTTAGGCTTTAATAGCGTGTGGACTGATTTCTATGTGATAGGTTGATAAAGTCACACTGATGCTTATGTCCAATTCCCTTTCCTAATTTCCCAGCATCAACAATGAGCAACACTAGCTAGCATTAGCTTACAAACAACACAACTCCACATACAGGCGAAAAACAATCACAGATCCAGCTTCTGATTTAAATTGAGACACAGCTAGCTAACAGGGTGGGAAGCAAATAATAAATTATTGACATTACTTTGAGAGCCAGTTTCCCCGTTTAGGTTTCTTCACTCTCTCTGACTGCACTCCTGCATCATCAGCTGCTTACTATCAGCCATTACCCAGCCCTGCTAAATCAGCCCCATTAGTCTGCGGACGTATTCTTCTCGTGAGTTAGTCAGTCTGTCTCGTTTTTCCAGCAAGAGAGCAATCTGCCTGCACGAGAGAAGCTTTTAAGAAGTACTGACAGGGAAAAATTACTTTCCTTCTTGTCGTCACGTCTGACACTTTTCTCTCCTTACTTGAAGCACAAAGATTTTGTTCATCTTTAAGTTCACCAATTAAATCCAAATGTCAGATTTGTTTTGTCCCTTTGTGTCTTTTTGCCTAAGTTAATAAAAGGCAGAGATTCTGAGGTTTATTCAGATTGTGACTTGGTAGCTTTAGTTGAACATTTACTCAAATTTAGGCTTATTTATCAGTTTCTGGCCTCTGATCAGGCTGGAAGAAATTGAGGTATTATGTTTTATAATCTTGTTGGAGACCAAAGGCAAGATGAAAATACCACAATCTCCATTAGGCATTTAATTATTTTCTATCTGAATAAAGTTTAGATTGCTTTACTTTGGTTCTTAGCAGTCCAAGATGGGGAGTGTCCCTGTTGGATAAGACTATAATCCTTGTTTTTGTTCTGATCATATTTCTGAGTTAAACTGCAAGAAGTCATTGAGTTTTTAATGCCAGGCAGACAGAAGTACAGGGAGGACTTTTTCTTTTCAGGACTAAATGAGACATAACTGGCAGTCATTAGTTTATTTCTATAAAGAGGTCCAAGGTCTTAGCCCTGTGGGACCCCACATGCTATCTTTAAGTGATGACGTGATGAATCCTGCTTCCAGGCCTAAATTACTCTGTGTTTATTAAAGGCTGTTGTGTTTTTAAAGCTCAGTTTTTAAAACCTTACGATGTAACTCCAGCCCATGCAGCAGTATATGAATGACTAACCTCGTGTTGTGGATGGATTATCTCAGTTGTTCTCCTGACTGAAGTTTGGTCCTTTTACAGCATCCTGCCATGCGATTGCATTTGTCCCTAACCATCGGGAACTCTCACGTTAACTTTTATCAAGTGGAAAAAAGCGATTCCAGCTTCACTTGTTTATGTTATGCTAACATAGCTGTGTCGCTAGCGATCACCAGTAGCACATCATTATATAGCAGCTCTCCAACTTCAGTAACCCTACAAACGTCACTGCTGTTTAGTTTCCTGTCTTCATTTATGTTGGAAGTGAAGCAGAGCTGTACGTTTGAATTTTTCAGAAATCTCTCAGTCAGAACATGCTATATCATGTTTAGGTGAAACTAGCGAGCTAACTTCCTGCTAACTTCTAACTCCGTTAAATTTACATAAATTCCTGTTTTCATGGATGCCTGGATGTTAAACTTAATTGTTACACCTGGTAAAGCAGCAACGCTGATCTTTTATTGAGCAAACCTGACTATAATTCTTTTAGCCTTGCTGAGCAAAACAACTTCAGGTCAATTTTTTGACTACACTGAGCAAATCAGTGAATTATATTTCCGAACTATAAATGAGCTAAATTTTCTACTGCCCTCTTAGAGTGACTAAAAATGACATGCAGCTTTATGTAAAACAATTTCTTGGCTCAAGCTGTCTCTCTGATAACTGCGTGGAGACATCTTGAATGACCACGACTTTAATCTCTGTCAGTCAGCAGCACGGCAGCCTGGCTTTACTGCTAAAAGAGAACTTCCACTTATGGTGCTCATTTCTCATGATCTTGCCTCATTTAAAGGAAGGAATTCAGAGCTAGTCCTCGAAACTTCAGTCAATGAACTGAGAAGTTTGAGGTCAACAACCCTCCGCAGTTCCCGGAAAACCGATCACGCTAAACCCTTTAAAAAAAACTGTTAAACGGCATGTGAGGCTGGAACAAACGAGACTCGTGTTTTATATCTGCTAAACGTGGATCCCTGTAAGATTCCCTGGTTTCCCAAGAGTGTTGTTTCCGCTAATCCATCATGAGCAGAAGTTTAAACAATGAAAGCAAAACAGTCTGCAGGATCCAGAGTTTGTTTGCGGCATCGCTGAAGTTTTCAAAGTGGAGACTGGGAACCATCAGAGAAGCAAACAAACCTGACAAAACTGCCATTATGCCATTGTGTGTCGGCTTACTCCACCACAAACAAATTAACAAAGCACTCATCAGAGCGTGCTTACAGCTGAATACCAGGAATCAGGACCCTGGTGTTTCCTGGGAATCCTCATCAGGAGAAGTCCCTGTGGGAAGTCTGGATTTTGGCTTGTGGATATTTTTCTCAGTGTTGAAAGAAGAAACTATTTCTTCCAATTACTCTGTGTGCTAAAGTGGCAGCGCAGTCATGTGACAGAATATCCTAAGGGAAAAGTTAAGGTCGCCAGATGTGACCTTGAGTGGTTTCACTGCGTCCTTCGAGCAGCTGCAGGTCGCTTCATAATTAACCAAACATTTCTAAGGAAGCCACACTGAAATCTTAAAAAAAACAAGTGTGACACACAAGACTAAAGAAGAAGAACTTCTTTCATTGTTGGTTCACAAAGATTTGCTTGATCTCAATTCTCTATAAACAGCTTCCCTTTTACTTTTCTTGCAAATGAGCGATAACAAATTAATTAAATACTAGTGTGTGAGCCCTGCCACAGACTTGTCCAGTATGGCTGCTGTGATAGGCTGCAGCCCTCCCAAAACATGAACTGGTTAGTGGAAAAAAACTTGTTTCTTTTTGCCAAACTGCAGTTCGTTCATAGACCACCAGGGGGCTGTGGCCCACACTTTGAGACTCCCTGCTGTGTCTATTTTCTGGTGTGATTTAAAAACGATCTACAGCGCCATCTGCTGTGTATAAAAACATGGACGTCTCTTTCAGCCAACCAGCAGGGGCCGACTGCTTGATTTTTATAGGAAGTCCAGTTGTTTAAGTACTCCCTGTGCCAGGAGCAGTTGGGTTTTTTCTGTTCTAGGATGTGTACGATGTCACAGAAGCCACACCCACCTTCAAACCTCAAAGAATCCAGGAATAGAAAAGTGTAGCTGAAGGTGAATCGCTGCTCTTGCTTCAGGTATTTAGGAGTTGTTTGCAGGACACGTTGGAGCTGTTTGGAGAGATTGTCATCCTTTGTTTTTCTGTAAACCTGTTATCGCTCAGCACAGCTCTGTGGAAGCGTTTATCTCTTATTTCTGAAGACGTGATTAGACACTGCTCGGTCACACTGCATGATTGAGCAAACGCCCTCGGGTGTTGCTTGAAATTCTGCAGAACCCCCTGTAGGCTGTCTGTTCGAGTAGCTACCCCATAGTATTCAACAGAAAAGTGAAACATCCCCATTGAGCAATTTCCAAATCAGATTTTTAAACGTGTGACGGTGATTTTGTTTGTAAAGACTGTTCTCACCCCCCCCGGGGAGATTGAAGGACACTGATGAAGCAGCTGAGCGTGTTCGTACTGGTCCTGTGGAGGATTTAGTGCCTCTGAATGCGCCTGAGTTATTTTTTTTAAGTTGAAAAAGTTGCTGCACACAGAGAGCAGAAAGAAAGAAGGAGAAAGAGAAAGTTGGTGTTTATGCTTAAATGTTACCTCTCCAGCCATTTCCACTGGAGGAACCTGTTGTAGTACATGCTGTCGAGGTAGTCTGCGAAGGGCGCCATGCTCAGGTAGTCGTGGATCAGTCTGGAAAACACAACACAACAGCTGTCAGTTTCACACTGAATTCAGCTTCATCACTGAGAGATCTCCGATCATTTAAGTCATTTAAGTCAACAATCTAATTATTTCTGCGTCTCCTGTTTGCTGTGACCTGACTGGTCTCGTTGGGTTAAGGTGAACCTCACACTGGACTCAGGAAAATGAAGGATTTTCGGGTATTTTATTCCCTTCATGTGGACACAAACCCGCCGACTTGAACATGACTTTGTTGTGAGTTGGGATGTTCCTGGTGACACTTTATTAGTGATTAAACGACTCAGAGGGGCTCAGAGCAGAGCTAATGGTCCTCCACATCGAAAGAAGTCAGTCCATGCTCAGGACACTGAGTAGGACACCTCCCAGCAGACCCCTACTAGGAGGAGGGACATGCTGCAGAGATGATATAACATGTCTGGCTTCAGAGTCCCACACTGTCTCTGTGGATGAGCTGGTGGAGGTGCTGCTCCATCCTACACTTAGATAAGCAATATGGACGGATGGCTGTATAACGGAGAGATCTCAGACTAGTCGAGTCATCTAAAAGCCAGACCAAAAAAAGGTACTGTGCAGACTAACTCTGTGGCGAGGCGTGGTCTGTGATGCTGCTGCAGGTGAGATGGATGCACCTTGGTATGTGTCCAGCTGTGAGCTGCAGCCGAGGTGTTTGAGTGTACAGCGACCGTTAATAAGATGCTGCAAAGCATGCAAACATCGCTGGGTCTGTCGTGGTTTTATCACAAACCCGTTTGCTTATTTCCTGTTTTGGATGCTCCTGAAATCCTGCAGGTCTGCCAGTAAACCTCCTCTCTTGCACACACCTCTTCTTCGCTCATCAGTGTCCTCAATGAGACTTTGCTTCGATGCACAGGCTTTTTAAATTACAGCGTTAGCCATAAATGTTTCATCCTTGGGTGCCCTGTATGCATCCTGCAGGAAGCCTCCGGTGGACGTTAGAGGAACTGCAGGTTACCCTCAGGTGGGCAGCCACAGAGTGACCCACACAGAGCTTTGAATGGTCTACTGTCAGCTGTAAGCTGACGCACGATGGCTGCTTTACATTTGCAGTTCAGAGATCGTGGTGTTGATTTTGCCTCTCTGCGCTGCATCACGCCTACGCAGCGGTGAAGAGGACGTTACTCAACATGTGAGTGTTGTTAGCACACCGCATCAGAGAAGCAGCATTAAATGTATTCAATAATTTTACAACCTGCTCAAGTCAAACTTTTCTTTTCCTTTTTTTTAGTTAGTTTTGTTTTACGTCATCTGCAGCCTGACAAACAGCCACCGATACTGGAGACGTTACAAAGACTCAGGGCTTTAAAATGAACCTGTGATTATTGGAATTTCATTGTCACGCATCTCTCTGTAGTGCTGTCGGCTCTTTGCCTCACATTCTGAAGCACCGTGAGGCGACTGTTGTTGTGGTTTGGCGTGATATAAATAAAACTGAATTGAATTATTGTTGCCTAACAAAAACCCCAGAAACACTCCAGCAAACGTTATTAGACGGAGAACTCTTCGGACGTTTGGTCCTCCTCTGGGCCAATCATAACCCCTCACACACACAACACTCAGGACACAAGTTTGAAAAAACCGTTGACTTTATCACCTTCTAAAAATCGACGCTGCTCTGAACTCTGACTCCAGTTGGACTCGAGCCTTGTGACTTTAAAGACTTCGCCGACATCAAAGCCCGGCTGCCGGTTTCTCTGCAGGGCCCTCGATGTTTACCAGAGATATTTCTGGATAAGCGCTAACGCCGACACCCTCGAAACAAAAGGATGTTTTATTTCACGCAGAATGTCTGTCATATCTGCACAACTGAATCTCTTATATTTGACATTAAGTGGCAATTTCTCTGCCGCGCCTACACAAACAGGGCATTGTTCAAACAAACGCCGATTCGTTTCCAAGCTCATCACACGCTCGGAAAAACTTCAGCTTCTCAAACGTAGATGTAATCACATTTTCCTTCATGTGTCCATAAAATGAAGCGTCTGAGTAGGAAGATGCTGGGGGAAATCTTTTTTTTGTGACGCAGAGACAAAACGCACATCACTGCCCATCCACAGAGTCGGGTTAAAGCGGCAGCAGGCGAAGCAGAATATTCCAGATCTTGTGATATTCCCAGTAAAGTGAAGCAGCTTGGAGTTGAGATAGGATGTGGATGTGGCACATTCATCTTTCTGTCTGACGCTGCTCGTCTTATTTTGTTGTAGTCAGCTGTTGGTGCCGTTACTCGTGTGTTTGACCATCATCAGGTAAATGCTGACGCCATAAACGAGTCCTAGAGTTCAAAGGCTTTTTGTGAGAAAGCGTGAACAAAAAGAGCAGCTGTTGTATTTTAAATATTTCGAGGTAAAAGAATACATTTGACTCAGCTGATTTAATTTATTTACCCTGAAACGGAAACTGTTTCTTACTCCAGTTTGTAAATGGTGCTGTGGGGATCCCAGCTTTACTCAACTGCAGTGAAAGGGAAGGTTAAAAGTACTGATTGAGTCAACAACCATATTATTTTGGTTTTATGGGTTTCCACTGTGGTTTGTAAACTCTGATGACATTAGATGTACATTAGAGTCAGGAAATAACACCTCGGCCTGTTCATGGGTTTCCTAATAATAATATCTGGTGACGTCTTTGGTTGGCGAATGGTCTCAGCTCTGAATGTTTCCTTTTCTGATTTTCTTTGAAAACAGTTTGTTATGGACTGGTTTCACTGGTCTGGATCACTGAGATCAAACTAAAGTAACTGGGTGTATCGTTTCCAGTTTGAAGCGCACCTGTTTGTGTGATTTTTGGCGCGCTTCAGGAGGCCGGGTCAGGTTCTTGTGACCCGTGCTGCTGAACAGACTGAGGATTCTTGTTTCCCCTTGCCCAGTGAAAACCTCTCAACCTTAATGTTCCTGGGGTCCGAGGTGAGCGAGAGTCCGAACAAGCACATTAATCAAACCTTAAAAAGCTGATCTGATTAAACTGGGGAAATATATCCAAAAGAACAGCAAACTAATCCTTAAAAAGCCTGCAATCTTACTTGGTGCAGTCCTTGAAGAGGTCTTTGCAGGCCTCCTGCTGCAGCCTCTCTGTGCACTGAGCCATCATGGCCTCCTCCACCTCAGGCACGTGGTCCTCTGACTGCACAGAGAAAAAACACATGAAATCCAGGTGAAAACAGTGAATCAGCTCCGACTGTAACTCTGACAGAGAGAGCCGGATAGGATGAGGTTTGAGACGGAGCTGGGAGGTGTTTGTGTTCGTCTGCAGGTTCAGACCTGCACGTTCGCGCTCACACAGAATTAGCAGGAAACATCAGGGCGGAGCTTCAGCCTGAACTACGAGGCGAGGCCAGGATTTCTTTCTGTTATCTGGCTTCACTGATCCTGACACAGGCAATGACCAATCAGAGTATCAGAAGCACAGATGCTGGTCAGGCATCAGACTACCTATCTCACCTGGCCTGGAAACACCTGAGGTAGAGAGAAAAGACTTTTGACCCTCTTACTATCAAACACAGAGATCTGATTGGTCAGCAGGCGGTGATCTCTTATGTCAAACATAACCTTCGCCTGCTGAGAAGTGAACCACCTTCATGACACTGAAACTTCAGGATTATCCTGAACCTCACAAACCCTGCTTCATAGTTCAGGCCTCAGGACTGCAGGTAGTTACATCATCATAAGGTCAGTCAATGAGCGGCTCTGCTCCCATCATCATCCATCATCAGCTGATTAAATCTGATTTCCTTCTTGACGAGCCGGACTGAGCGCTTCCTCCTGAGTGATGCGTTCAGGGACGCTCTAGAGGCAGGTGTTTTAAAATTCAACCACAGTGGGGGCGTTTAACAGAAGACAGTCGAACCTTCTGCTACAAAACTGGCTGAAAAATAATAACAGTAAAAAACTAAAAAATACAAATAAATTTAGCCCTTTGTCCAAAACTCAGTGACTCTATTCAGTCTGCTGTGATGACGAGTTTTATTAATTTAATAATTTACATGTATTTTGAATAAAATTATAAAATAAATCTATAGTGCACACTGTCACAGCACACTGGTACCGACAGACAGAAACAATGTAAAACATGGAAAAGATTTGACGACTTTTGGTCTGATATTTTTGTCAATGAATGCATCATTAATAAAAGTTTAAATCACTCCGACAGAGCTCCTCTGCTACTTTGACAACAAAACTGATGTTTTGTTGTCAAATTCAAGATTGTCCAATGCAATAATTTTCTTTAAACATCACAGTTTGGACACTTTTCAGGTGATTTTTGTAGATATTTTATGTTTGTGACACATTTAATGACCAAAAGCCAGTGGAAACCTTTTGGTCATTTGATGGTCGTTGGTCTTCAGTTTGGGCTTGTTTCTATATCTTCCTGCTTCAGAGGGAAATGAGCTTTGAGCTATCTCTGATCCTGTACATGTGGGCAATAAACAAAAATACTAACAGATATCATCCTAATAAAAATAAAACCATGTCAGACCTGACAGGAAACATCAGAAAGTACCTTTGGGTTGAAGTATTTTTCGATGAGCTCCTGTCCGCACTCCTTCCTCTTCTCATCTGGTGTCACCTCGTAATCCGCCTGCAGAGAAACGCACACATCAGTATGCTGTCAGCAGGCGCTAATACTCAAATAACACAAAACTGTGCTCAACTTATTTCAGTGAATTCATTTACTGCCATGACCTGAGTTTACTTTTTGTTTGTGACATTATGTTCTAGGGCCTTTGTATTTCTTAGTACGAAGAAAGTTAAGGCTTTAGCGCCTGAACCTACACAGGTAGCTTTTAGCATTAAATCCAAGCAAGTCAATTTTAATGTTTGAGGCAAACTCAGTAACTTATCAATTATTGCTGAGTATTTTTTAATCACTTGAAATGAAGTCGTTTTCGTAATTAGGGTTAACCAAGTAATTCTTAGCAATTAACAATAATCAATTAGCTTTTAGCTACTGATGCTAACCAAGTAGCATTTAGCAATTGACGCTAAACAGGTTGCTTTTAGCATTTAAGGCTAAGTAGTTTTTAGCAATTGATGCTAACCGGGTTGCTTTTAGCATTTGAGGCTAAGTAGTTTTTAGCAATTGATGCTAACTGGGTAGCTTTTAGCATTTTAAACTAACTAAAGAGTTTTTAGCACTTAAGACAAACAAGGTAGTTTCCGGCATCTTAAGCTAACTAAGGAGTTTTGAGAATTTCTGCATTACAATGTGACACTGCCAGACCTTCAGAAAGAGAAGAGTACCAGGATGTGGTTTTCAGTTTCAGCATTGCCAGAAAAATGTGGTTAAAAACATTTATTTTATTTGGGTTTTACCATGTTGCTGCTAGCTGTATTTTTTTTAGCATCCTGTCATCAAAACACCTGACTAATAATAATGGATTGCATTTATATAGCGCTATCTAAACAGAGTTAGAGAAGTGTTTGGGTTAAAGTGAACTCTCTTTTTTTTCCATATAAGCTCATTTACATTTTACATGCATTTCTGCATATGACCACTAGATGTCATTTCATTTAAAAACATAACTCAGTCATTAATTTGGATCTGATGAAACTGTGAATATATGATGACAGTATTGAAGGCCCATACTATTGAATGATTGCTCAGCTGAACTACCAGCTTCGTGTGTGTCCCCTGCAGCCTCCTCTCGGCTTCAGAAAACCCACTTTATGAGTTAATTGAAGACTTTTTGTAGCCCTCCTCCCCCACACCCGAACCGATTGCATCTACTCCTCCCTGTGAATGACCTGCAGTAAACTGAGCCTGACTGGAAAACCCCAAAGTGCTTCCTCTCCCCTCTGGCAGCGAGAGCCTGTAAACTAATGCTAAGTGACAGCGGAGACGGTTCAAATCTCATTTTCCCCTCTCCATCTCGTCCTCTCGCAGGGCTCTCAGAGACGAGACGGGAAGCGGTTGTGGGGTAAAAGGGAGCATAATTGCTTCGAATGCGAGTTGAAAACTGCAAAGCCATCAGACTGGAGTCAGCTGAGCAGAGCAGACTGCCTTCATTAACCTCCTCTACCTCAGCAGATAGGACTGCAACCATTACCTGATCCACTTTAACAAATCATTTCTACTGTGAATAACACCAAATTGGCAAAACTTAAAGAAATGCAGGCTTAAACGGTTAATCTGACATTACCTCAACCTGATGAGCCTCCGCAGTTACAACCTGACAGCTTTCATTTGTTTTTACTACTTTCCCATATTAGCAGGTGAAATTTGACTTACCCTTGCCCTTACCTAAGCTCAGACAGGATTAGCCATGAACCAGGACAGTTAATATAAAATAATCCCACACTTCCTGTCTGAATAATGTTTGTTTTTGTTCTGAGTGTGATACTGTCTGACAGGTCAAGGAGCTCTTTATGCTTCAAACCCTCATTTGTTATGAACTTTTGCACAGAGATTAATGGTCTCTGCAGAGTGAACCCTACAAACACTGATTATCCTCTGACTTTACCATATCACCAGCAGGTGGTTTCAGATCAGATTTTAAGATTTTGGACTTGTTCAAACTTGTTATTGCACTGACTGGATAGATTTCCCAGGGGATGAACCCTCAACTCAAGACAACATGCAGCGGCTCTATAAAACTGAAATATCTTGAGTGTAATCACATGGACTGGATTTTTGTAAACACATCCCGAGAGGATAATCACAGATGACAGTGATGAATTACTGATATTTAACACGTAGGGACATCTACAAATCTGTGGTCTCCGGAGGACGACCCCTCAATTCTTTAAACTTCAAAACACCTTCCTGATGCTGATTTGTGCTCCTTTTCATCTTTTGAGTGGTTCAAACCAAAACATTTCCAGTATAATTTGGTAGATTAATATTCAATTTGTATGCATATCCCCAGAGGATAAACATAGATGACAGTGATGAAGTAATACACAGAGGCACCAAGAAAGTCGTGGTCCCCAGAAAGTCCTCGTTCAAAAAAAATCATCAACAAATTCATGACTAAAAACCTGAACATCAGGATTCCCGGCTAAACCCTTAATTCAAACCTTGCCCCTGACGAACCTGGCTCTTTAAACTGCGTCTGGTCCCTGAAGTTGTGAGGACCACTCTGAATGTCCTCATAAAGCAGAAATGTCCCCACTGTAATGGTTTTAGATACAGAAACACACTGTGTGACCTCATCTGCTGCAGTAAACGAGTCGTAACTCGCTCCGCTCACTTCAGGAATGCTTCCCTCACACTTTGTTTCATTCCCACCGGAGTGTGTGTGTGACGGGGATACAGCATGGGAGGTAGGAAAGAGCGACTCAGTGACGCAGATTGTTCCCAGAAGTCAAGAGTTCCGGTATTTCATTAAACAGATATTAAACCCTACTTCCTCCTCCTCATCTTCAAGTGCTCCATTTGGGCATTCAGGGTAATTAAACTCGCCAATCAGCTTTTGGAAGGGTCCGTTCACCCGGAGAAAAAAAAGAACATTTTCCCACAGCTCGGCGTTGGCCTGCTTGGACAGTTGGGGCACATGTGCATTTATTTTGGGCGACTCGAATCCTGAAAAAACTGTTTATGTATCACAGCAGAAAAAAGCATAAATAGGCCACTTTACCGTGCTCTGCTACTGTGTTACTTCCTGCTGTAAACTGAGAGCAGCATTTAGCTGATAATGAGCTAACTTCCTTTATCAGTGTGAGTCGCTGGAGGCCAAAAATCAGCTAAAAGTGAGTGAATATTGTGCATGTAGTGCTATAATCACAGCGTTTAAATGTCAAAGTGTTTGTTTCCTGTTAAAGGCCTGCTGTATATTCTACCTCATTTCCTGTCATATATCGGGTGCTTGTATTAAAGCTACTAAATAACGATGTTACACCCGGTGCAGTTTAGAGAGCAGTACAGAAATCACTGCCTCGTTCCCTAACAGCATCAATGACAGGAATGACCCAGGGTTTCTTACAGGAGCGCCTCCTCCACCTCCTCCACCTCCTCACACAGCACTGAACAATGAGGTCTTCAAACTGCCTGAAGCAGATCTAAACAACACATTAATCTAACTGATTAATTACAAGCTGTAGTTAAATGTCAGATCCTTGCACACACTGATAAGTGTACTAACTCAGTCAGCCTCTTTCACTGTTGCAGTCATACTGACCTCACAGCTTAAAGCAAACACTCATTAATAAACAGCTGTATCACACTTTTCCTGCCACACAAACCCTCAGATGATACTTTCAGTCTGTATTAAGTGTTTAAACTCAGAAACAGTTTTCTAATAATACAGTTTAATCGTGTCTGTTCCTCTCTGCTGTCAGCTGACCTCTCCGTGTCTGATTGGTCACGCTGTTTTCACGTTAATGCGTACGTGGGAGGCTGATAAACCCTGGGCTTACAGGACAGTCTGAACCCTGCAGAGAAAGATGCTGAGGCACACAAAGAGAAGAGGTCAGACGAAGACGGCTCTGCTTACCACGGCGTCCAGGAACTTGACGCAGCGCTTCAGCTCGGCTCGAGTCTCGCAGAACTGCCTGAAGAGCAGCCGTCCGATTGGCTGCCGCTCGCAGAGGCTGCTGTAGTCCTTCTCTGCAGAGACACGGAGACAAGCGAGGTCATCGTTACACAGATCTGAATCAAACCGCCGGCACTGTTTTACAGGAGGCCTGCCTACACTGATGGAAGAAACAATTCTCACATACTTCGTTTATCTGGACACAAACGTGCACGTTATTTAATCCAGAGTCAGTCTGTGAATGCTCTCAGGTTAAGCCCATTGCACACCGAGCGTGCTGCGAAGGAGCAACGCAAAACTTTTCAGATGCAAACTGATTGCGTAACATAAACGCCTTCATGCAGAAAATAAACCTCAAAGCGAGCACACTGATGTCTGATTGATCGGATCTGATCAATCGAGCTTCATCCAGCAAACTCAGGTGGAGTAAAAGGCGGGATTAAGAATAGGCGAGTCCAAATGCAGGAAAGATGTTTGGTGTGTAGAGGTCTTTGAGGCCCCTGAAGGACAGGGATGAGTTTAACTTTGGTGCTTTTTAACATCTTTTTCCATCATTTTTAATCCTCAGAGCTTCAGAAGCTCAGGAAGCAACTTTCAGAGCTCTGTTAAAAACTGCAACCAGATCCATCCAACACCCACTCCAAAGGTCACAATCTAAACACAAACTCTGGGTTCTTTTCTATAACAAACTTCAAGCTTCAAATTAAATCAGACCCTCACAGGAAGTACAAAGTCGCACGCAACCTTAAGCACGCCTTATCCCCTGTGACTATTTACAACGTAGAAAATTCATCAGATGAAATTTGCTTTCGACACAGTTTTTCTTTCCCAAACATTTTTACTTCCTTCTAAATAAAAGCTGACTTTTTATAACATAAATAATAAAGTTCCTGCAAGCAAAACTGCAGGTTTATGCAAATATGCTGGTATTTGATTATTCCATGGATCAGTGTCGTTCCCTGTTATGCTGTGAGCCGGCACCAAATGTGCTCTTATTATCTTATTATTACTGTTGTTTCTGATGTACTGCATTATTAGAAGGCTCTAGAAAATGAAAGTCAGATGGACGCTTATTTCTCCATGTAGAGAATGGAGGTTATAAAATGTTTTCTGAGGAAGGAAACATGCTCAGCACATTTGTGAGGCAGGAACTGTTGTGAAAGACTGAATGCTAAAGAGGCAGCACACTGTTTTATAGGAATAAAGGAGCAGGCCTCCCTCAGTGAGCACTGGAGATCCTGTGACTGACGGAGGAGTACACCTCTCTCTGACTTGCTGAAGTGTCGCATTGATCAGTCTGACCTTTTTGCTCTTTTCCTCGTCTCTCACGCCGACCGGCCCGATCGTCAGTGAATCACATTTGCTTGTGCGTGAAGCTTCCTGGGTTGTTTTGCATCTGTACGAGTCTCAGATGCAAATCCACGTTTCCTTGTTAGTGTTTCTATTTTTTTCCTCAAACACAGCTGGACAGATGAACTGAAACCTCATGCGAGTATGTTTTTGTTTTTGGTGTACATGTGACTGTCGCTACAACAGCAGCACAGCCTCGAACGGCTCACGTAAACAGACATCAGTGTTACTGGAATCATTCTCTTCTGGTTCCACAGTGAATATGGAATAAAAGACACGATAACCTAAAGTTGCGACTCTTTGAACTGTAACCATTCAGCAACTGAGACCAAAATCAAATCGTTACAAACGGACAGAATATTGTATCGCTGTCAGGCCCAAACACTGGCCCAGTTCAACTGAATCCTTAACCCAGTGCATCACACCGACTTCAATAGATGCCGAGCTACAGCAGGGTGTCATCTGCATATATAATAATAAAGCTTGTTAGTCAGTGAGCGTTGTTACTGCTGTGAAGCGTTTTAATCCAAACTACTGTCTTACTCTGAACCTGAGTTTTATCTGACAGAGGCGTCGTGTCAGGGTTGTCGATTTAATCGCCAAGTTACGCCAACAGACTGAAGTTTCATTCATAAAACCAGCTGCAGGAGTAAAAAGATGCTGTTTGCTTCGTGGGTGATGTAGTCCGTGTCATCTTTTTGTCTCCCTGCCCGGCTCAGTAGATGAACATAACTCGGGTGGCGCGCCCCTTCGATTGTTACTCTGCTGAGTCATTTCCTTTTGATGACCCACTGACTGATGGTTACTGATGCCTTGTTCCGTCAGGTTCTCCTCTGTTTCATCCTACTTTGAGATTTTCTGCTCTAGTTGTCTCTGCTCTGCCCTTTGTCCCGCTCTCCTCTCCTCTAATGATCTCTTCTCTCTCTGATGTTCCACTTAAGTCCCGCTGCAGAGAGAACAGAGACGCTAAGTGTGCGGAAAAGGGAATAAATCTGTGGATGACAAAGGACACGAAAGAGAGAAAGACGAGAAAAAGGCCGTTCCAAGTCTTCATATCTACAAACCCACTGTTTTCTTTACAAAAGGGACATAAATTACTTCATTACAGTTCATAAAGTTACTTAGGCAGTATCAGACGCTTGCATCTCAAAGTTCTGGGAATTCTCCGAATAATCATTATCTCATTATGGCTGATTACGGACGTTTTGAGACATGATAGGAGTTGTGATATACATGAATGGAGATCCAGGGCTGTAGAGAACATGCTGTACATTAACACGCAGAAAACAAAGAGGCCTCTGTCGGGTGTCCTGTTGGCTTCGAAGGCCCTGCAGTGAAAGTGAGTTTCCATCCAGACCAAAGCACGACACAGAGCCTCCATCACTTTATGCAGCGTCACGCTGATATTAAGCGCACCAGTTTGTTCTAGAACGAGCTGAACAACTATCAATAACCAACAGGAGGAAAGGTCAGCAGAAAAAGCCAGAGTTACTGTTTCCTTCCTTTCAAACCAGCTTGGTAGGAAAATCCAAGCAGATTAGCAGCGTCTGAAATACTCAAACCGGCTCGTCTTCAAAGTCAGGAAAATCTTCCTCATTGTGGGGCTCAGACTGAACTTCAGCAGGTCATCTTGAGCTGCCACCGTGTGATTGGATGTCTGTGTTAATGACCAGTTGAACAAGTGGATGGTGAGTGTATATCTTGTAGGATGTATTTGGTAAAAGGAAGCAGTAAACCTCAGAGCAGCAGCAGCACAATAAAAAATATTATTTTCATTAAATCCTACTTAACCCCTGATTATGAATGTCTATGAATCTTAGATATTAGCACTTACATAGAAAAGTGCTGGTTGTGCAAGTTGTGCAAAGTGCTTTGACGAGTAGAAAAGCGCTTTAAAAGAACCAGAGCAGTTACCATACTTTATTTTATCGCCCTGCATGATTACAGCATCACCACCCTGACGAAGCAGCCGGTTCCCTCTTCCTCTCTCTGGGTTGCTCGGTTCTATTTAAACCATAAACATATTCCTATGATTCAGCAGCTGAACACTGACACCAGTGTGGACCTACTTTACTGTAATATCATGTTACTCTAATGGCCTCTTATGAGGACTGAGGAGGAGGGGAAGGGGGAGGCGGAGGAGAAAGCATCGATCGAGACTACAGATGCTTTCGTTTGTGCAGAGGAGGCCGTGCGGTGAAACTCCCTGCACGTGTTTCTCAGGTTCAGCGAACAGCAGAGTCACCGGGGCACAAACAGACAGAAAAACACACTTTGTGTTTTGCTGCGAATGCACTGCACACAACAAGAAAGCACATGTCCGAGTGCAGTGCAGGGCCAATCTTCAGTTTTTTGTTTTTCATTGGTGCTGGTGAAATGTGTTGTAACAAAGGGAGAGCATCTGTAAGATCTCTGTTGTGCAACATAGAAATGTCTCACGTTGCTTGCGGCATAATTACATAACAATAAATGATGTTCGTATCAGGGGATGAGAGGAAAAAGAGTCTCCTGAATATCTTCCTCCCACTCGTCTTCGTTCTTCTGGTTACAAAAAAGTCTCGAGGATGAATCGTGACTTCCTTCTTCGTCTGTCGGCTCACGTTCTCATCCTCTGTTTTTACTTTCCTCCTTCTGGCCTATCAGCCCTGCAGCACCTCTGTGGGACATCAGCATTTCAAACCGTACTGTATGTGGTTTTAGTGCTGAGCTTCTAACTTCCTGTGTGTGTTTGACTGAACTCATTCAAATCTAAACTTATTTGCATCGGCCCTTCCAGGGAAACAAAAGAAGCAGCAGCAGCACCTCGAGTGTGAAATGGCTCATCTTTATTTCCTTATATTTTCACATCAGCAGGAAGTCTTTAATTATGTTAAGTACGTGTCTAAAAGAAGCCAGATGCAGTGATGATTAGGAAAATCAGCAGATGAGCTGGAAACAGAGTGGTCACGTTATTCAATAAGCTGCTGCCTCTCCTGCCACAGCCTAACCAAAGGGAACGCCACCGCTTCAGATATATTCATATTAGCCTCTATTTCATTTGAAATATCGTCAACTGCTCTATTAATAATATCAATAATGTCCTGGTGCTGCTCTGAGCCTGACGGCCGTTACAGCTGCTCCTGTTGGTGTTTTTCCAGTTTACTCTGGAGGCAGAGTGTCGTCACCCGACGATGGCCCGTAGTCCCCGAGCAGAGGAAGTCTGTTCCTGCCATCGTCACGTGGAATGTGAGGTGTTTGGACAATGATATGGAAGAGCTGCATGAGTTGATTACCCACCGAGGTTACCACACTGGAAGTGCCAGGAGGGCCGTTCTGAGCCTGTCCTGTAACAACAGCACGGATGCTGAAGACAAGTTGTTACCTTTCAACTGTTTTTCTAATTTTCAGTAAGATTCGGCCAAATAATTATTTAAGGTTGATTTTAAAGGTTTCATCAATGATTTAACACAAACACGTTCGACTAAACTACAAAGAGTTAAACAAAGCACAGTAACTACAAATGGAGTTATGAAAGAAGAAGAACGTGAATTGTGGGGTTAGCTGTATTAAAATGAAGGTGGTGTAAAAACCTCAGAGCTGCTTCAACACATTTTAAATAATTACTGTAAAAGCAGAACAAGTTTATCATCTGCCTCTGATCATCAAACCTGAAGCCGTCTCAGCTTCACCTCCTCAGGCCTGACATACGTTTGGGTGCCGCTCTGGATTTGCTCCGTTTAGTTCT